TCACTGACACCATGATGATGATGGTGGTGGTCACTGACACCATGATGGTGGAGAGTGAGAGAGTGTGAGAGAGTGAGAGAGAGACAGCGGTTTATCCACCTGCGTCGTTTACGTCCGGGGGAAAGAGGGGGAGCGAGACGCAACAATGCAACAATTATCCCGTGAGAGAGTGATGGGGAGAGTGTGAGAGAGTGTGAGAGAGTGTGAGAGAGTGTGAGAGAGTGTGAGAGTGAGAGAGAGTGTGAGAGAAAGAGTGTGATAGGGAGAGTATGATAGGGAGAGAGTGTGAGTGAGAGAGTGATGGGGAAAGCGTGAGAGAGTGTGAGAGAGTGTGAGAGAGTGATAGGGAGAGAGTGAGAGAGTTTGAGAGAGCGTGAGAGTGTGAGTGAGTGAGAGAGTGATAGGGAGAGTGTGGGAGAGTGAGAAAGAGTGATAGGGAGTGTGAGAGAGTGATAGGGAGAGAGTGTGAGAGAGAGTGATAGGGAGAATGTGAGAGAGAGTAATAGGGAGAGAGTGATAAGGAGAGAGTGTGAGAGAGTGTGAGAGAGTGATGGAGAGAGTGTGATAGGGAGAGAGTGATAGGGAGAGTGTGAGAGAGAGTGTGAGAGAGAGAGTGATAGGGAGAGAGTGAGAGAGAGAGAGTGATGGAGAGAGTGTGATAGGGAGAGAGTGATAGGGAGAGAGTGAGAGAGTGATAGGGATAGTGTGAGAGAGTAATAGTGAGAGAGAGTGATAGGGAGAGTGTGCGAGAGAGAGTGATAGGGAGAGAGTGTGAGAGAGAGAGTGATAGGGAGAGAGGGAGTGAGAGTGATAGGGATAGTGTGAGAGAGTAATAGGGAGAGAGTGTGATGGAGAGAGTGATAGGGAGAGAGGGAGTGAGAGTGATAGGGATAGTGTGAGAGAGTAATAGGGAGAGAGTGTGATGGAGAGAGTGATAGGGAGAGTGTGCGAGAGAGAGAATGATAGGGAGAGAGTGATAGGGAGAGAGTGAGAGAGTGTGAGAGAGAGAGAGTGATAGGGATAGTGAGAGAGAGAGTGATAGGGAGAGTGTGAGAGAGAGTGATAGGGAGAGAGAGTGTGAGAGAGTGATAGGGAGAGAGAGTGATAGGGAGAGAGAGTGATAGTGTGAGGGAGTGAGAGAGTGTGAGAGAAAGTGATAGGGAGAGTGTGAGAGAGAGAGTGATAGGGGAGAGTGTGTGAGAGAGAGTGATAGGGATAGTGTGAGAGAGTGATCGGGAGAGAGAGAGTATGAGAGAGAGTGATAGAGAGCTGGTGCCGTGTCTCCTATCCCCAGGGATGCTGGAGATCGATCGACCCCCCCCCCGATCCCCCTCCGCCGATTTCCCCCCCCCGTCGTTTGTATAAATAAATAAATAACTCCCGGTCGTCTTCCGCCTCTCTGTGCGCGCGGCTCGAATCACGGTGGGCACCCCTGGTTAATACTGCGGCAGGCACACACAGACGGGGCGCACACACACAATGAACACAAACACAACCACATACAGAGACATGATGAACACAATTTCGATTTAAAGCTTTCGTGACTGCAAGGATTCATCTTCTTTGGTTCTTTCGGTAAAGTCACGTAGAATGAGAATAAAATAATAAATTGATAAAATAAAATAACACAATAATATTCTCACGACGTTTCGGCCACAACACAAGCGGCCTTCATCAGGTGAAGGGACGAGACTGTCTGGTAGGACAGCGCCCTAGGACATGCACCACCAGCTGTAACCCCCGCCCTAGGACAGCGCCCTACCAGACAGTCTCGTCCCTTCACCTGATGAAGGCAGCTTGTGTTGTGGCCGAAACGTCGTGAGAATATTGTGTTATTTTATTTTATCAATTTATTATTTTATTCTCATTCTACGTGACTTTACCGAAAGAACCAAAGAAGATGATGAACACAACCACAATAATAAACACAATACTCATTGTTTTTTTCGGTAAAGTCACCTATGTAGAAATACAATAAAATTACATTAAAACAAGACAATCACGACGTTTAGATCACAACACAAGCGATCTTCATCAGGTGTCAAGAGCAAATCGCGGAGGTAAATACAACAACAAAAAGATCTTTGTTCTATTTACCTCCATGATTTGCTCTTGACACCTGATGAAGATCGCTTGTGTTGTGATCAAAACGTCGTGATTGTTTTAATGTAATTTTATTGTGTTTCTACAGACGTGACTTTACCGAAAAAACCAATGAGTAATTTTATGCAGTCACGAAAGCTTGAATTACCTTATCAACAAACACAATAAACAAACACAATGAACACACGCTGAAATATTATGCACTACACTATACACTACTATACACGATACACTACGCCAGGCTAGGTGCAGGAGGTCTCGGAACTTAGATGACCTGTAGATGCACCAGAACAGCTGTAACCCCCCTACTGTGCCAGGCTAGGTGCAGGAGGTCTCGGAACTTAGATGACCTGTAGATGCACTACCAGCTGTAACCCGCTACTGTGCCAGGCTAGGTGCAGGAGGTATCAGAACTTAGATTACCTGTAGATGCACCACCAGCTGTAACCCCCCCTACTGTGCCAGGCTAGGTGCAGGAGGTCTCGGAACTTAGATGATCTGTAGATGCACCACCAGCTGTAACCCCCCTACTGTGCCAGGCTAGGTGCAGGAGGTCACGGGACTTAGATGACCTGTAGATGCACCAGACCAGCTGTAACCCCCCTACTGTGCCAGGCTAGGTGCAGGAAGTCTCGGAACTTAGATGACCTGTAGATGCACCACCAGCTGTAACCCCCATGCTGTGCCAGGCTAGGTGCAAGAGGTCTCGGAACTTAGATGACCTGTAGATTCACCACCAGCTGTAACCCCCATACTGTGCCAGGCTAGGTGCAGGAGGTCACGGGACTTAGATGACCTGTAGATGCACCACCAGCTGTAACCCCCATACTGTGCCAGGCTAGGTGCAGGAGGTCACGGGACTTAGATGACCTGTAGATTCACCACCAGCTGTAACCCCCATACTGTGCCAGGCTAGGCGCAGGAGGTCTCGGAACTTAGATGACCTGTAGATGCACTACCAGATGTAACCCGCTACTGTGCCAGGCTAGGTGCAGGAGGTCTCAGAACTTAGATTACCTGTAGATGCACCAGACCAGCTGTAACCCCCATACTGTGCCAGGCTAGGTGCAGGAGGTCTCGGAACGTAGATGACCTGTAGATGCACCACCAGCTGTAACCCCCATACTGTGCCAGGCTAGGTGCAGGAGGTCACGGGACTTAGATGACCTGTAGATGCACCAGACCAGCTGTAACCCCCCTACTGTGCCAGGCTAGGTGCAGGAGGTCTCGGAACGTAGATGACCTGTAGATACACCACCAGCTGTAACCCCCCTACTGTGCCAGGCTAGGTGCAGGAGTTCTCGGAACTTAGATGACCTGTAGATGCACCACCAGCTGTAACCCCCCTACTGTGCCAGGCTAGGTGCAGGAGGTCTCGGAACTTAGATGACCTGTAGATGCACCAGAACAGCTGTAACCCCCCTACTGTGCCAGGCTAGATGCAGGAGGTCTCGGAACTTAGATGACCTGTAGATGCACCAGACCAGCTGTAACCCCCATACTGTGCCAGGCTAGGTGCAGGAGGTCTCGGAACTTAGATGACCTGTAGATGCACCAGACCAGCTGTAACCCCCCTACTGTGCCAGGCTATGTGCAGGAGGTCTCGGAACTTAGATGACCTGTAGATGCACCACCAGCTGTAACCTCCATACTGTGCCAGGCTAGGTGCAGGAGGTCTCGGAACTTAGATGACCTGTAGATGCACCACCAGCTGTAACCCCCCTACTGTGCCAGGCTAGGTGCAGGAGGTCTCGGAACTTAGATGACCTGTAGATGCACCAGACCAGCTGTAACCCCCATAATGTGCCAGGCTAGGTGCAGGAGGTCTCGGAACTTAGATGACCTGTAGATGCACCACCAGCTGTAACCCCAATACTGTGCCAGGCTAGGTGCAGGAGGTCTCGGAACTTAGATGACCTGTAGATGCACCAGACCAGCTGTGACCCCCCTACTGTGCCAGGCTAGGTGCAGGAGGTATCAGAACTTAGATGACCTGTAGATGCACCACCAGCTGTAACCCCCCTACTGTGCCAGGCTAGGTGCAGGAGGTCACGGGACTTAGATGACCTGTAGATGCACCACCAGCTGTAACCCCCCTACTGTGCCAGGCTAGGTGCAGGAGGTCACGGAACTTAGATGACCTGTAGATGCACCACCAGCTGTAACCCCCCTACTGTGCCAGGCTAGGTGCAGGAGTTCTCGGAACTTAGATGTTCTGTAGATGCACCACCAGCTGTAACCCCCATACTGTGCCAGGCTAGGTGCAGGAGGTCTCGGAACTTATATAACCTGTAGATGCACCACCAGCTGTAACCCCCATACTGTGCCAGGCTAGGTGCAGGAGGTCTCGGAACTTAGATGACCTGTAGATGCACCACCAGCTGTAACCCCCCTACTGTGCCAGGCTAGGTGCAGGAGGTCTCGGAACTTAGATGACCTGTAGATGCACCACCAGCTGTAACCCCCATACTGTGCCAGGCTAGGTGCAGGAGGTCTCGGAACTTAGATGACCTGTAGATGCACCAGACCAGCTGTAACCCCCCTACTGTGCCAGGCTAGGTGCAGGAGGTCTCGGAACTTAGATGACCTGTAGATGCACCAGACCAGCTGTAACCCCCCTACTGTGCCAGGCTAGGTGCAGGAGGTCTCGGAACTTAGATTACCTGTAGATTCACCACCAGCTGTAACCCCCCTACTGTGCCAGGCTAGGTGCAGTAGCAGTAGCAGCGTCCTTCACGAGCCTCCTCCTTTCCACAGAAGGCGATGTTGACGTCACTAAACAATCAGCGACCACCCCCCACCACCATCACCGCGTTTGGAATGCGCCAATGACATTCCAATCTCGCGCCGGACTGTACCAAGTGGGTCACCTCATCCGGGGGGGGGGGGGTAGGAGGAGGGGTAAGAGGTGGGAGATTCCACTAGCGCAAACATTTAAAGAAAATAACATTTTTAACCGTGAAATTACGAATTCACGTCGCATCTGTCGGATTAACTCGTTGTCCTTCCACGTGTAAAAAAAAATCTCTTTTTTTATTTTGTGTTTGTTTACATTACTAAAACAAATTCATGGGTTACGGAAACGAGCGAGAGATGGGAGTGGCATTTCCTGAATCCGAAGAAGCTCCGTCCCTTTAGCGCTCTCTCTCGCTCTCTCTTCTCTCTCTCCCCTCCCCAGCAAACAATTGAACAGTTTTTTTCCTTTCAATTCGATCGACTTTTTTTAAAACCGGTTTAAAGAAACCGGTTAAGGAAAACCGGTTGGAAATCCGAACGCAGCCACCACACATCGCAAACGGGGGGGGAGAGACTTCGTGAAATGGCTGCCGCGATACTCGCCCGTCAACGGGTGAGATAAGAGACGCACACACACACACAGTCACGACTCGGACAGGGTCTGTCCACTGCTAGGTGAAGACCACCATCATCACTACCATCACCACCATCGCCATCTTCACTACCATCATCACTACCATCACCACTACCGCCATCATCATCTTCACCACCATCATCATCTTCACCACTACCATCATCTTCACCACCACCATCACCACTACCATCATCTTCACAACTACCGTCATCACTACCATCACCACTACCGCCATCATCCACTTCACCACTACCATCATCCACTTCACCACTACCACCACCATCATCATCTTCACCACTACCATCATCCACTTAACTACCATCACCACTACCATCATCCACTTCACTACCATTATCATCTCCACCATCACCATCATCTCCACCATCATCATCTTCACCACTACCATCATCCACTACCATCATCTTCACCACTACCATCACCACTACCATCATCTTCACCACTACCATCATCTTCACCACTACCATCATCACCACCACCATCATCATCTTCACCACTACCATCACCACTACCATCATCTTCACCACTACCATCACCACTACCATCATCTTCACCACTACCATCATCTTCACCACTACCATCACCACTACCATCATCTTCACCACTACCATCATCTTCACCACTACCATCACCATCTTCACCACTACCATCATCCACTTAACTACCATCACCACTACCATCATCCACTTCACCACTACCACCACCATCTTCACCACTACCATCATCTCCACCATCACCATCATCTCCACCATCATCATCTTTCACCACCACCATCATCTCCATCACCATCATCACTACCACCACCATCATCTTCACCACCACCTTCACCACCATCAGCTTCACCCCCATCACCATCCTTCACCACCATCATCCTCACCACCACCATCCTCACAACCATCACCATCTTCACCACCATCATCTTCACCATCACCATCATCTTCACCACTACCATCTTCACCACCACTACCATCTTCACCACCACCTTCACCACCATCACCTTCACCATCACCATCTTCACTACCACCACCACCTTCACCACCATCATCACCAGGCTCTATCCACTGCTGCATGATGGTAGATATCCTCACCATCATCATCTTCACCACCATCTTCACCATTTTCATCATCATCAGGCCCTACCCACTGCTGCATGATGGTAGATATCCCCACCACCACCATCATCTTCACCACTACCATCATCATCAGGCCCTATCTACTGCTGCATGATGGTAGATATCCCCACCACCACCACCATCATCATCTTCACCATCTTCATCATCATCAGGCCCTACCCACTGCTGCATGATGGTCGATATCCCCACCACCACCATCTTCATCATCATCAGGCCCTATCTACTGCTGCATGATGGTAGATATCCCCACCACCACCATCTTCATCATCATCAGGCCCTATCTACTGCTGCATGATGGTAGATATCCCCACCACCACCATCATCATCATCAGGCCCTATCTACTGCTGCATGATGGTAGATATCCCCACCACCATCATCTTCACCATCATCATCATGCCCTATCTACTGCTGCATGATGGTAGATATCACCACCACCATCTTCATGATCATCAGGCCCTATCTACTGCTGCATGATGGTAGATATCCCCACCACCATCATCATCTTCACCACCATCTTCATGATCATCAGGCCCTATCTACTGCTGCATGATGGTAGATATCCCCACCACCATCATCATCTTCACCACCATCTTCATGATCATCAGGCCCTATCTACTGCTGCATGATGGTAGATATCCCCACCACACAACACAGACGTACGCGCGCTTATCGTGAACGTTGAGGCGAAGTAAATGTCGCGTTGCCGGCTAACTCTGCCGTTCGTGCTCCACTTAAATCACGAATTTAGTGGGCCACCAACTCCTCGACTCTCCCACTTGAGTCACGAATTTAGTGGGCCACCACCAACTCGTCTCTCCCACTTGAGTCACGAATTTAGTGGCCACCACCACCAACTCCTCGACTCTCCCACTTGAGTCACGAATTTAGTGGCCTCATCCTCGACTCTCCCACTTGAGTCACGAATTTAGTGGCCACCACCTCCTCGACTCTCCCACTTGAGTCACGAATTTAGTGGCCTCATCCTCGACTCTCCCACTTGAGTCACGAATTTAGTGGCCACCACCACCAGCTCGACTCTCCCACTTGAGTCACGAATTTAGTGGCCACCACCACCAACTCCTAGACTCTCCCACTTGAGTCACGAATTTAGTGGGCCACCACCAGCTCGACTCTCCCACTTGAGTCACGAATTTAGTGGCCACCACCAACTCGCTCGAACTTGAGTCACGAATTTAGTGGGCCACCACCACCTCGACTCTCCCACTTGAGTCACGAATTTAGTGGCCACCACCACCTCGACTCTCCACTTGAGTCACGAATTTAGTGGCCACCAACTCGCTCGAACTTGAGTCACGAATTTAGTGGCCACCACCACCTCGACTCTCCCACTTGAGTCACGAATTTAGTGGCCACCACCACCTCGACTCTCCCACTTGAGTCACGAATTTAGTGGCCTCATCCTCGCCTTTCCCACTTGAGTCACGAATTTAGTGGCCACCACCACCTCGACTCTCCCACTTGAGTCACGAATTTAGTGGCCACCACCACCTCGACTCTCCCACTTGAGTCACGAATTTAGTGGCCACCACCACCACCAGCTCGACTCTCTCCACTTGAGTCACGAATTTAGTGGCCACCACCAACTCGTCGACTCTCCACTTAAATCACGAATTTAGTGGCCACCACCACCAGCTCGACTCTCTCCCACTTGAGTCACGAATTTAGTGGGCCACCACCACCAACTCCTCGACTCTCCCACTTGAAATCGGCTCACTTAATTGGCGTTAAAACCGATCACTTCTCGGACGGAATGACGTCCACAAAGCCCCCCTCCGGTAATGAATCCAGTGGTCGGTTTAAAAACCATCGATAATCGTGGTTTATGAACCGTGCGAGCGAGAGGCTTTGTGGGGAGTTAACGATGAAACGATTTGCTTTCGTGAAGGGAGGTTTAACAATTTAAATGCGATTTAAAATAAAAAAAATCTTACTCGAGGCCCCCAGTGTGGCATTGTTGTGCAGCCTCGGCCTCGCCTGGGTTACCGACGCCGGAGTTGGGGCCGCGTTCCCCCGCAGGGGATTCTAGGAAAGTGGCGGGGCGTCCGTTTTTGGAGCTAGGCCCCGTAGTCGTTAATAAAGCTTAAACTTAAACTTGGATAGGTTTAAATTAAACTTTACAAGTTTAATTTTAATGCGCGTTGTTTTTATTAAAATGTGTCATCGACGTGAGTGTGGGCACGAACGGTAGAGCGAGCCGCTTGCAATAATGGAATGTTTGACTGGGCCCAAATAATCATCATCATCATCATCCTCGCCTCTAGGGTCGATACATTCAAGTACCGCTTTGTGTGTGTGGGGAGGTTTGTGTCACAGCCGCCCACTCCGCCTTCACAGCCCCCCACTCCGCCTTCACAGCCCCCCACTCCGCCTTCACAGCCCCCCACTCCGCCTTCACAGCCCCCCACTCAGCCTTCACAGCCCCCCACTCCACCTTCACAGCCCCCCACTCAGCCTTCACAGCCCCCCACTCTGCCTTCACAGCCCCTCACTCCGCCTTCACAGCCCCCCACTTCGCCTTCACAGCCCCCCACTTCGCCTACACAGCCCCCCCACTCCGCCTTCACAGCCCCCCACTCCGCCTTCACAGCCCCCCACTCCACCTTCAGAGCCCCCCACTCCGCCTTCACAGCCCCCCACTCCGCCTTCACAGCCCCCCACTCCGCCTTCACAGCCCCCCACTCCACCCCTGTGTGCGTAAGAGCCCCCCACTCCACGCCTATGTGTGTTCGCGAGCCCCCCATTCCACGCCTGTGTGTGTGTAAAAGCCCCCCACTCCGCCTCTGTGTGTGTGTAAGAGCCCCCCACTCCACCCCTGTTTGTATGCGCGAGCCCCCCACTCCACGCCTCTGTGTGTAAGAGCCCCCCACTCCACGCCTGTGTGTGTGTAAGAGCCCCCCACTCCACGCCTGTGTGTGTGTAAGAGCCCCCCACTCCGCTCCTGTGTGTGTAAGAGCCCCCCACTCCGCTCCTGTGTGTGCAAGAGCCCCCCACTCCGCCCCTGTGTGTGTAAGAGCCCCCCACTCACGTCCCGCGTGCCGTGAGTAAAGCCGCTGGGTTGGGGGGGGGGTGCCGTGCCCCCCCTACCCTTCCCCCGTCTCTTGCAGGCCGAGAGGGATGAAGATGGCGATTGTGGATTTAGCTTACACAGTGCCAGGGTCCACGAGGATCTCGGGGTACACGGCACGGGCAGTGGGTCGTGGTGGCGGTGGTGGTGGTGATGGTGGTGGTGGCGGTGGTGGTGACGGTGGTGGTGACGGTGACCGTGACGGTGATAGTGGTGGCGGTTGCGGTGGTGGTGGCGGTGACGGTGATAGTGGTGGCAACGGTGGTAACGGTGATAGTGGTGACGGTGATGGTGGTGGCGGTGGTGGTGACCGTGACGGTGATAGTGGTGGCGGTTGCGGTGGTGGTGGCGGTAACGGTGATAGTGGTGGCGGTGGTGGTGGTGACGGTGATAGTGGTGGCAGTGGCGGTGGTGATAGTGGTGGCGGTGGTGGTGGTGATGGTAACGGTGATAGTGGTGGCGGTGGTGACGGTGATAGTAGTAGTCGTGGCGGTGGTGGTGATAGTGGTGGCGGTTGCGGTGGTGGTGGCGGTAACAATGATAGTGGTGGCGGTAACAATGATAGTGGTGGTGGTGACGGTGATAGTGGTGGCGGTGGTGGTATCGGTGATAGTGGTGGCGGTGGTGACGGTGATAGTGGTAGTCGTGGCGGTGGTGGTGATAGTGGTGGCGGTTGCGGTGGTGGTGGCGGTAACAATGATAGTGGTGGTGGTGACGGCGATAGTGGTGGCAGTGGCGGTGGTGATAGTGGTGGTGTGTGTGGAGTGGTGGTGGTCGTGGTATGAGTTGAGTGATGGTGGAGGTGGTGGTGGTGGTGTGTGTGCGGAGTGGTGGTGGTGGTGGTGTTGGTGTGTGGAGCTCCGGTAGTGGTGATGGAGATGGTGATGATGATGGTGATGTGTGTTGAGTGGTGATGGAGATGGTTGTAGTGTGTGTGGAGTGGTGGTGGTGGTGTTGGTGTGTGGAGCTCCGGTAGTGGTGATGGAGATGGTGATGATGGTGATGTTTGTTGGGTGGTGGAGATGGTGGTAGTGTGTGTGAAGTGGTGGTGGTGGTGGTGTTGGTGTGTGGAGCTCCGGTAGTGGTGATGGAGATGGTGATGATGATGGTGATGTTTGTTGGGTGGTGGTGGAGATGGTGGTAGTGTGTGCGGAGTGGTGGTGGTGGTGTTGGTGTGTGGAGCTCCGGTAGTGGTGATGGAGATGGTGATGATGATGGTGATGATGATGGTGATGTGTGTTGAGTAGTGGTGGAGATGGTGGTAGTGTGTGCGGAGTGATGGTGGTGTTGGTGTGTGGAGTTCAGGTCGTGGTGATTGAGGTGGTGATGATGATGATGGTGATGTGTGTTGAGTGGTGGTGGAGATGGTGGTAGTGTGTGCGGAGTGATGGTGGTGTTGGTGTGTGGAGTTCAGGTCGTGGTGATTGAGGTGGTGATGATGGTGATGTTTGTTGGGTGGTGATGGTGGAGATGGTGGTAGTGTGTGCGGAGTGGTGGTGGTGGTGGTGTTTGAGGTTGAGCGGTGTGCTGTGGACCACCTTTCTCTACAGTGATGACAGGTAACGCCGCTGCTACGTGTGTGTGTGTGTGCCGCTCTGTGTGTGCTGCTGCTACGTGTGTGTGTGCCGCTGTGTATGCTGCTACTACGCGTGTGTGTGTGTGCCGCTGTGTATGCTGCTGCTGCGTGTGTGTGTGCCGCTCTGTGTGTGCTGCCGCTGTGTGTGCCGCTCTGCGTGTGTGTGTGCTGCCGCTGTGTATGCTGCTGCTACGTGTGTGTGTGTGCCGCTGTGTGTGTGCTGCTGCTACGTGTGTGTGTGTGTGCCGCTCTGTGTGTGCCGCTGCTACGTGTTTGTGTGTGTGCCGCTGTGTGTGCTGCTACGTGTGTGTGTGTGCCGCTCTGTGCTGCTGCTGCTACGTGTGTGTGTGTGCCGCTCTGTGTGTGCTGCTACGTGTGTGTGTGTGCCGCTGTGTGTGTGCTGCTGCTACGTGTGTGTGTGTGTGTGCCGCTGTGTATGCTGCTGCTACGCGTGTGTGTGTGTGTGCTGCCGCTGTGTGTGTGCTGCTGCTACGTGTGTGTGTGTGTGCCGCTGTGTATGCTGCTGCTACGTGTTTGTGTGTGTGTGTGCCGCTCTGTGTGTGCTGCTGCTACGTGCGTGTGTGTGTGTGTGCCGCTCTGTGTGTGCCGCTGCTACGTGTGTGTGTGTGTGCCGCTGTGTGTGCTGCTACGTGTGTGTGTGTGTGTGTGCCGCTGTGTGTGCTGCAACGTGTGTGTGTGTGCCGCTCTGTGTGTGTGTGTGCCGCTCTGTGCTGCTGCTGCTACGTGTGTGTGTGTGCCGCTCTGTGTGTGCTGCTGCTACGTGTGTGTGTGTGCCGCTGTGTGTGCTGCTGCTGCTTGTATGTGTGCCGCTGTGTGTGTGTGCCGCTCTGTGTGTGCCGCTGTTGCGGTGTTCCTGCCTCTTGCTCACTCGTAACTTGGATACCTGGGAGCTTAATTCACGCTCATTTCCTGAGCTATACCACCACCACGGCCACCACCGCCGCCACCACCACCATCCACCCACACTCCCTACTGGTGTTAATGCCCCCCCCGGTGGTTGCGTTGATTTCCGCTGAGGGTTGTGACGATCAAGGTGCCTGCCGCTCGCTCGCTCGCTTGCCGCTGAACTCCCGCTCGCTTGCGTCTGCGTTCGCGCCCGCAACACGGTTGTAGCGGTAGCAGCAGTGTGTTGTGTGTGTGTGTGTCTTTGTCTGTGTGTCTGCGTGTGTGTGTGTGTGTCTGTGTGTGTAGAATGAGGAGTTCCGTAACCTCTCCTTGTCGGGCCACGTGGGATTTGACAGCCTGCCCGATCAGCTGGTCAACAAATCCATCAGCCAAGGATTCTGCTTCAACATCCTGTGTGTTGGTCTGTACTCGCTGTTGCTCGCTCGCTCGCACACTCACTCGGTCGCACAGACACTCGCACAGACACTCGCACAGACACTCACACAGACACTCACACAGACACTCACACAGACACACGCACAGACACTCACACAGACACTCGCACAGACACTCACACAGACACACGCACAGACACTCACACAGACACTCGCACAGACACTCACACAGACACACGCACAGACACACACACAGACACACTCACACAGACACTCACACAGACACACGCACAGACACTCACACAGACACTCGCACAGACACACACACAGACACTCGCACAGACACACGCACAGACACACGCACAGACACTCGCACAGACACACACACAGACACTCACACAGACACTCACACAGACACTCACACAGATACACGCACAGACACACACAGACACACACACAGACACTCGCACAGACACACACACAGACACACACAGACACACACACAGACACTCGCACAGACACACACACAGACACTCGCACAGACACACACACAGACACTCACACAGACACTCGCACAGACACTCGCACAGACACTCGCACAGACACTCACACAGACACTCGCACAGACACTCGCACAGACACTCACACAGACACACGCACAGACACTCACACAGACACACGCACAGACACACGCACAGACACTCGCACAGACACTCGCACAGACACTCGCACAGACACACGCACAGACACTCGCACAGACACTCACACAGACACACGCACAGACACTCACACAGACACACGCACAGACACACGCACAGACACTCGCACAGACACTCGCACAGACACACGCACAGACACTCACACAGACACACGCACAGACACACGCACAGACACACGCACAGACACTCGCAAAGACACTCGCACAGACACACGCACAGACACTCGCACAGACACTCGCACAGACACTGACACAGACACACAGACACTCGTACAGACACTCGCACAGACACTCGCACAGACACTCACACAGACACTCACACAGACATTCACACAGACACTCACACAGACACTCACACAGACACACGCACAGACACTCACACAGACACACGCACAGACACACGCACAGACACACGCACAGACACACGCACAGACACTCGCACAGACACTCACACAGACACAGACACTCATACAGACACTCACACAGACACACGCACAGACACTCGCACACACTCGCACACACTCGCTCACACTTGCTCACACTCGCTCACACTCGCTCACGCTCGCTCACATACTAATACTCACACTCACTAATACTGCCACTCACTCCCACTCACTCACGCGCATACACTCACGTACAGACTCACTCACGTACAGACTCACTCACGTACAGACTCACACTCACTCAGGCGAGTCAGGGATTGGTAAATCTACCATGGACACGCTGTCTCCTCTCACCGTGTGTGTGTGTCTCACCGTGTGTGTCTCACCGTGTGTGTGTGTGTCTCACTGTGTGTGTGTGTGTGTGTCTCACCGTGTGTGTGTGTCTCACCGTGTGTGTGTGTCTCACCGTGTGTGTGTGTCTCACTGTGTGTGTGTGTGTCTCACCGTGTGTGTGTCTCACCGTGTGTGTGTGTGTCTCACTGTGTGTGTGTGTGTGTCTCACCGTGTGTGTGTGTGTCTCACTGTGTGTGTGTGTGTCTCACCGTGTGTGTGTGTCTCACCGTGTGTGTGTGTCTCACCGTGTGTGTGTGTCTCTCACACTGTGTGTGTGTCTCACCGTGTGTGTGTGTCTCACCGTGTGTGTGTGTGTGTGTCTCACCGTGTGTGTGTGTCTCACCGCGTGTGTGTGTGTGTCTCACCGTGTGTGTGTGTGTGTCTCACCGTGTGTGTGTGTGTGTCTCACCGTGTGTGTGTGTGTCTCACCGTGTGTGTGTGTGTGTCTCACCGTGTGTGTGTGTGTGTCTCACCGTGTGTGTGTGTGTCTCACCGCGTGTGTGTGTGTCTCACCGCGTGTGTGTGTGTCTCACCGCGCGTGTGTGTGTGTCTCACCGTGTGTGTGTGTGTGTCTCACCCACCGTGTGTGTCTCACCGTGTGTGTCTCACCGTGTGTGTGTGTCTCACCGTGTGTGTGTGTGTGTGCCTCACCGTGTGTGTGTGTCTCACCGTGTGTGTGTGTCTCACCGTGTGTTTGTGTGTCTCACCGTGTGTGTGTGTGTCTCACAGTGTGTGTGTGTCTCACCGTGTGTGTGTGTGTCTCACCGTGTGTGTGTGTGTCTCACCGTGTGTGTGTGTGTCTCACCGTGTGTGTGTGTCTCTCCGTGTGTGTGTGTGTGTGTCTCACCGTGTGTGTGTGTCTCACCGTGTGTGTGTGTCTCACCGTGTGTGTGTGTCTCACCGTGTACGTGTGTGTGTCTCACCGTGTGTGTGTGTCTCACCGTGTGTGTGTGTCTCACCGTGTGTGTGTGTCTCACCGTGTGTGTGTGTGTCTCACTGTGTGTGTGTGTCTCACCGTGTGTGTGTGTCTCACCGTGTGTGTGTGTCTCACCGTGTGTGTGTGTGTCTCACCGTGTGTGTGTGTGTCTCACCGTGTGTGTGTGTGTCTCACCGTGTGTGTGTGTGTCTCACCGTGTGTGTGTGTCTCACCGTGTGTGTGTGTGTCTCACCGCGTGTCTCTCCGCAGGCGAGACGGGGATTGGTAAATCCACCATGATGGACACGCTGTCTCCTCTCACCGTGTGTGTGTGTCTCACCGTGTGTGTGTGTGTGTCTCACCGTGTGTGTGTGTCTCACTGTGTGTGTGTCTCACCGTGCGTGTGTGTGTGTCTCACCGTGCGTGTGTGTGTGTCTCACTGTGTGTGTGTGTCTCACCACGTGTGTGTGTGTCTCACCGTGTTTGTGTGTGTGTGTCGCACCGTGTGTGTGTGTATCTCACCGTGTGTGTGTGTGTGTCTCACCGTGTGTGTGTGTGTCTCACCGTGTGTGTGTGTGTCTCACCGTGTGTGTGTGTGTCTCACCGTGTGTGTGTGTGTGTGTCTCACCGTGTGTGTGTGTGTGTCTCACCGTGTGTGTGTGTGTCTCACCGTGTGTGTGTGTGTCTCACCGTGTGTGTGTGTCTCACCGTGTGTGTGTGTCTCACCGTGTGTGTGTGTGTCTCACCGTGTGTGTGTGTCTCACCGTGTGTGTGTGTCTCACCGTGTGTGTGTGTGTGTCTCACCGTGTGTGTGTGTATCTCACCGTGTGTGTGTGTGTGTCTCACCGTGTGTGTGTGTGTCTCACTGTGTGTGTGTGTGTGTCTCACTGTGTGTGTGTGTATCTCACCGTGTGTGTGTGTGTGTCTCACCGTGTGTGTGTGTGTCTCACCGTGTGTGTGTGTCTCACCGTGTGTGTGTGTCTCACCGTGTGTGTGTGTGTGTCTCACCGCGTGTGTGTGTGTCTCACCGTGTGTGTGTGTGTGTCTCACCGTGTGTGTGTGTGTTTCACTGTGTACGTGTGTGTGCCTCACCGTGTGTGTGTGTGTCTCACCGTGTGTGTGTGTGTCTCACCGTGTGTGTGTGTCTCACCGTGTGTGTGTGTCTCACCGTGTGTGTGTGTCTCACCGTGTGTGTGTGTCTCACCGTGTGTGTGTGTGTCTCACCGTGTGTGTGTGTCTCACCGTGTGTGTGTGTGTCTCACCGTGTGTGTGTCTCACCGTGTGTGTGTCACACTGTGTGTGTGTCTCACCGTGTGTGTGTGTCTCACCGTGTGTGTGTGTGTCTCACCGTGTGTGTGTGTGTCTCAGTGTGTGTGTGTGTCTCACCGTGTGTGTGTGTCTCACCGTGTGTGTGTGTGTCTCACTGTGTGTGTGTGTGTGTGTCTCACCGTGTGTGTGTGTCTCTCCGTGTGTGTGTGTGTCTCACCGTGTGTGTGTGTCTCACCGTGTGTGTGTGTCTCACCGTGTGTGTGTGTGTCTCACCGTGTGTGTGTGTCTCACCGTGTGTGTGTGTGTCTCACCGTGTGTGTGTGTGTCTCAGTGTGTGTGTGTGTCTCACCGTGTGTGTGTGTCTCACCGTGTGTGTGTGTGTCTCACTGTGTGTGTGTGTGTGTGTCTCACTGTGTGTGTGTGTGTGTGTCTCACTGTGTGTGTGTGTCTCACCGTGTGTGTGTGTCTCACCGTGTGTGTGTCTCACCGTGTGTGTGTCACACTGTGTGTGTGTGTCTCACGTGTGTGTGTGTCTCACGTGTGTGTGTGTGTGTCTCACCGTGTGTGTGTGTGTCTCACCGTGTGTGTGTGTCTCACCGTGTGTGTGTGTCTCACCGTGTGTGTGTGTCTCACCGTGTGTGTGTGTGTCTCACCGTGTGTGTGTGTGTCTCACCGTGTGTGTGTGTGTCTCACCGTGTGTGTGTGTGTCTCACCGTGTGTGTGTGTGTCTCACCGTGTGTGTGTGTGTCTCACCGCGTGTCTCTCCGCAGGCGAGACGGGGATTGGTAAATCCACCATGATGGACACGCTGTCTCCTCTCACCGTGTGTGTGTGTCTCACCGTGTGTGTGTGTGTCTCACCGTGTGTGTGTGTCTCACTGTGTGTGTGTCTCACCGTGCGTGTGTGTGTGTCTCACCGTGCGTGTGTGTGTGTCTCACTGTGTGTGTGTGTCTCACCACGTGTGTGTGTGTCTCACCGTGTGTGTGTGTCTCACCGTGTGTGTGTGTGTCTCACCGTGTGTGTGTGTGTCTCACCGTGTGTGTGTCTCACCGTGTGTGTGTGTCTCACCGTGTGTGTGTGTCTCACCGTGTGTGTGTGTCTCACCGTGTGTGTGTGTGTGTCGCACCGTGTGTGTGTGTGTGTCTCACCGTGTGTGTGTGTGTCTCACCGTGTGTGTGTGTCTCACCGTGTGTGTGTGTGTCTCACCGTGTGTGTGTGTCTCACCGTGTGTGTGTGTGTGTGTGTCTCACCGTGTGTGTGTGTGTGTGTCTCACCGTGTGTGTGTGTCTCACCGTGTGTGTGTGTGTGTCTCACAGTGTGTGTGTGTGTCTCACCGTGTGTGTGTGTCTCTCCGTGTGTGTGTGTGTCTCACCGTGTGTGTGTGTCTCACCGTGTGTGTGTGTGTCTCACCGTGTGTGTGTGTGTCTCACCGTGTGTGTGTGTCTCACCGTGTGTGTGTGTCTCACCGTGTGTGTGTGTCTCACCGTGTGTGTGTGTCTCACCGTGTGTGTGTCTCACCGTGTGTGTGTCACCGTGTGTGTGTGCCTCACCGTGTGTGTGTGTGTGTCTCACCGTGTGTGTGTGTGTCTCACCGTGTGTGTGTGTGTCTCACCGTGTGTGTGTGTGTGTCTCACCTTGTGTGTGTGTGTCTCACCGTGTGTGTGTGTGTGTCTCACCGTGTGTGTGTGTGTGTCTCACCGTGTGTGTGTGTGTGTCACCGTGTGTGTGTGTCTCACCGTGTGTGTGTGTCTCACCGTGTGTGTGTGTCTCACCGTGTGTGTGTGTGTGTGTCTCACCACGTGTGTGTGTGTGTCTCACCGTGTGTGTGTGTGTGTGTCTCACCACGTGTGTGTCTCTCTGCAGGCGAGACGGGGATTGGTAAATCCACCATGATGGACACGCTGTCTCCTCTCACCGTGTGTGCGTGTGTGTGTGTGTCTCACCGTGTGTGTGTGTCTCACCGTGTGTGTGTGTGTGTGTCTCACCACGTGTGCGTCTCTCCGTGTGTGTGTGTCTCTCCGTGTGTGTGTGTGTCTCACCGTGTGTGTGTGTGTCTCACCGTGTGTGTGTGTGTGTGTCTCACCGTGTGTGTGTGTCTCACCGTGTGTGTGTGTCTCACCGTGTGTGTGTGTGTCTCACCGTGTGTGTGTGTGTGTCTCACCGTGTGTGTGTGTGTCTCACTGTGTGTGTGTCTCACTGTGTGTGTGTCTCACTGTGTGTGTGTCTCACCGTGTGTGTGTGTGTGTCTCACCGTGTGTGTGTGTGTCTCACCGTGTGTGTGTGTGTCTCACAGTGTGTGTGTGTGTGTCTCACCGTGTGTGTGTGTCTCACCGTGTGTGTGTGTCTCACCGTGTGTGTGTGTGTCTCACCGTGTGCGTGCGTCTCACCGTGTGTGTGTCTCACGTGTGTGTGTGTGTGTGTGTCACCGTGTGTGTGTGTGTGTCTCACTGTGTGTGTGTGTCTCACCGTGTGTGTGTCTCACCGTGTGTGTGTGTGTGTGTGTCTCACCGTGTGTGTGTGTGTCTCACCGTGTGTGTGTGTCTCACCGTGTGTGTGTGTGTCTCACCGTGTGTGTGTGTCTCACCGTGTGTGTGTGTGTCTCACTGTGTGTGTGTGTGTGTGTCTCACTGTGTGTGTGTGTCTCACCGTGTGTGTGTGTGTCACCACGTGTGTGTGTGTCTCACCGTGTGTGTGTGTGTCTCACCGTGTGTGTGTGTGTCTCACCGCGTGTGTGTGTGTGTGTGTCTCACCGTGTGTGTGTGTGTCTCACCGTGTGTGTGTGTGTCTCACCGTGTGTGTGTGTGTGTCTCACCGTGTGTGTGTGTGTGTGTCTCACCACGTGCGTGTGTGTGTGTGTCTCACCGTGTGTGTGTGTGTCTCACCGTGTGTGTGTGTGTCTCACCACGTGTGTCTCTCCGCAGGCGAGACGGGGATTGGTAAATCCACCATGATGGACACGCTGTCTCCTCTCACCGTGTGTGTGTCTCACCGTGTGTGTGTGTCTCACCGTGTGTGTGTGTGTGTCTCACCGTGTGTGTGTGTGTCACCGTGTGTGTGTGTGTCTCACCGTGTGTGTGTGTGTGTGTCTCACCGTGTGTGTGTGTGTGTGTCTCACCGTGTGTGTGTGTGTCTCACCACGTGTGTGTGTGTGTGTGTCTCACCGTGTGTGTGTGTCTCACCGTGTGTGTGTGTGTCTCACCGTGTGTGTGTGTCTCTCCGCAGGCGAGACAGGGATTGGTAAATCCACCATGATGGACACGCTGTCTCCTCTCACCGTGTGTGCGTGTCTCTCACCGCAGGCGAGACAGGGATTGGTAAATCCACCATGATGGACACGCTGTCTCCTCTCACCGTGTGTGTGTGTGTCTCACCGTGTGTGTGTGTGTCTCACCGTGTGTGTGTGTCTCACCGTGTGTGTGTGTGTGTGTCTCACCGTGTGTGTGTGTGTGTGTCACCGCAGGCGAGACGGGGATTGGTAAATCCACCATGATGGACACGCTGTCTCCTCTCACCGTGTGTGTGTGTCTCACCGTGTGTGTGTGTGTCTCACCGTGTGTGTGTGTGTCTCACCACGTGTGTGTGTGTGTGTGTCTCACCGTGTGTGTGTGTGTGTCTCACCGTGTGTGTGTGTGTCTCACCACGTGTGTCTCTCTCTGCAGGCGAGACAGGGATTGGTAAATCCACCATGATGGACACGCTGTTCAACACGAGCTTCGAGGGCGAGGCGGCGTCGCACTCGGAGCCTGGCGTGCGACTCAAGGCCCAGGCCTACGAGCTGCACGAGAGCAATGTGCGCCTCAAGCTCACGCTGGTGGACACCGCCGGATTCGGGGACCAGATCAACAAGGAGGACAGGTGGGAGGAGGTCGCCGGGGTCGCCGGGGTCGCTGGGGTCACGGGGTCGCTGGGTAGCCGGGGTCACTGGGTCACTGGGTAGCCAGGTCACTGGGTAGCCAGGGTTACTGGGTAGCCGGGTCACTGGGTAGCCAGGTCACTGGGTAGCCAGGTCACTGGGTAGCCGGGGTCGCTGGGTAGCCTGGTCACTGGGTAGCCAGGTCGCTGGGTAGCCGGGGTCGCTGGGTAGCCTGGTCACTGGGTAGCCGGGTCATGGGGTCACGGGGTAGCCAGGTCACTGGGTAGCCAGGGTTACTGGGTAGCCAGGTCACTGGGTAGCCAGGTCACTGGGTAGCCAGGTCACTGGGTAGCCAGGTCACTGGGTCACTGGGTAGCCAGGTCACTGGGGCACTGGGTAGCCAGGTCACTGGGGCACTGGGTAGCCAGGGTTACTGAGTCACTGGGTAGCCAGGTCACTGGGTCACTGGGTAGCCAGGTCACTGGGTAGCCAGGTCACTGGGTCACTCGGTAGCCAGGTCACTGGGTCACTGGGTAGCCAGGTCACTGGGTAGCCAGGTCACTGGGTCACTGGGTAGCCAGGTCACTGGGTCACTGGGTAGCTAGGTCACTGGGTAGCCAGGTCACTGGGTAGCCAGTTCACTGGGTCACTGGGTAGCCGGGTCACTGGGTAGCCGGATCACTGGGTAGCCAGGTCACTGGGTCACTGGGTAGCCAGGTCACTGGGTCACTGGGTAGCCAGGTCACTGGGTAGCCAGGTCACTGGGTCACTGGGTAGCTGGGTCACTGGGTAGCCAGGTCACTGGGTCACTGGGTAGCCAGGTCACTGGGTCACTGGGTAGCTGGGTCACTGGGTAGCCAGGTCACTGGGTCACTGGGTAGCCAGGTCACTGGGTCACTGGGTAGCCAGGTCACTGGGTCACTGGGTAGCCAGGTCACTGGGTCACTGGGTAGCCAGGTCACTGGGTCACTGGGTAGCTGGGTCACTGGGTAGCCAGGTCACTGGGTAGCCAGGTCACTGGGTAGCCAGGTCACTGGGTCACTGGGTAGCCAGGTCACTGGGTAGCCAGGTCACTGGGTCACTGGGTAGCCAGGTCACTGGGTAGCCAGGTCACTGGGTCACCCGCACCCCAGTTTTAGCACGGTTGGCTACGTGCAACGGTGGCACAATGGAAGACCGTACGCAGACACCGCACAGACCACAGAGACACCGCAGAGACACCGCAGAGACACCGCAGAGACACCATAGAGACACCGCAGAGACACTGCAGAGACACCGCAGACACCGCAGACACCGCAGAGACACCGCAGAGACACCGCAGAGACACCGCAGAGACACCATAGAGACACCGCAGAGACACTGCAGACACCACAGAGACACTGCAGACACCGCAGAGACACCGCAGAGACACCGCAGAGACACCGCAGAGACACCGCAGAGACCACAGAGACACCGCAGAGACACCGCAGAGACACCGCAGAGACCACAGAGACACCGCAGAGACACCGCAGAGACACCGCAGAGACACCGCAGACACCGCAGACACCGCAGAGACACCGCAGAGACAGGAGACACCGCAGAGACACCGCAGAGACACCGCAGAGACACCGCAGAGACACCGCAGACACACCGCAGACACACCGCAGACACGGCAGAGACATGGCAGAGACATGGCAGAGACACGGCAGAGACACCGCAGAGACCACAGAGACACGACAGAGACACCGCAGAGACACGGCAGAGACACCGCACAGACACCGCAGAGACACCGCAGAGACACCGCAGAGACAGCGCAGAGACACCGCAGAGACACGGCAGAGACAGCAGAGACACCGCACAGATACCGCAGAGACACCGCAGAGACACCGCAGAGACACCGCAGAGACACGGCAGAGACACCGCAGAGACACCGCAGAGACACCGCAGACACCGCAGAGACACCGCAGAGACAGGAGACACCGCAGAGACACCGCAGAGACCACAGAGACACCGCAGAGACACCGCAGAGACACCGCAGAGACAACCCAGAGACACCGCAGAGACACCGCAGAGACACGGCAGAGACACGGCAGAGACACGGCAGAGACACGGCAGAGACACCGCAGACACACCAGAGACACGGCAGAGACACCGCAGTGACACCGCAGTGACACAGCAGAGACACCGCAGAGACACAGCAGAGACACCACAGACACCCCGCAGACACCGCAGAGACACCGCAGAGAAACCGCAGAGACACCGCACAGACACCGCAGAGACACCGCAGAGACACCGCAGAGACACCCCAGAGACACCGCAGACACACCGCAGACACACCGCAGACACACCGCAGAGACAACGCGGAGACCACGGAGAGACACGGCAGAGACACGGCAGAGACCGCAGAGACACCACAGGAACGGCAGAGACACCGCAGGAACGGCAGAGACACCACAGACGGCAGAGACACCGCAGAGACACCGCAGACACCGCACGGCGTTCTACCACCACGCCTCCCTTCTCTCCCCCCCGCCCACCACCAAAGACAAAGATCCCCCGTGTAGCCTTAACAGACTGTAGGGGCAAGTGCTGTTAGCGAGCAGCACCCTTGAAGGCCGGAACGGCACATGAGGGGGTGGGTGGCCAGCACCACGCCCGGCCGCCTTTGTCTCCCCCCCAGGGCTAGCGATGTTCACTACTACACCACCGCTACACCACCGCTACACCACCACTACATCACCACCACCACTACATCACCACCACCACTACATCACCACACCACTACATCACCACCACCACTACATCACCACCACCACTACATCACCACTACATCACCACCACCACTACATCACCACCACCACTACATCACCACCACTACACCACTACATCACCACCACTACACCACCACCACTACACCACTACATCACCACCACTACACCACTACATCACCACCACCATCACTACACCACCACCACTACATCACCACCACTACACCACCACTACACCACCACCACCACTACACCACCACCACCACTACATCACCACCACTACACCACCACCACCACTACACCACCACCACCACTACACCACCACCACCACTACACCACCACCACTACACCACCACCACCACTACATCACCACCACTACACCACCACCATCACTACACCACCACCACTACACCACCACCACTACACCACCACCACCACTACACCACCACCACTACACCACTACATCACCACCACTACACCACCACCACCACTACACCACCACCACCACTACACCACCACTACACCACCACCACCACTACACCACCACCACTACACCACCACCACCGCTATGCCAGCTACTCGTTTGAGGCCGAGTCGACCTAGGGGGAGGCCCAGGACCGGTTCAGAGAATCGTAACACCGGCGGTGCCGGCCGTGAGCGGGGAATGGAACTCGTGTCGCGCTTCGTGGCGCTAACCGCTGCACCACCGCTCCCCCCCCCACCCACACCCCCCACCACCACTACCACCACCCCCCTCCCCCCACCGTGCGTAGCTACAAGCCCATAGTGGAGTACATTGACGCGCAGTTTGAGGCCTACCTGCAGGAGGAGCTCAAGATCAAGCGCTCGCTCTTCAACTTCCATGACACGCGGGTTCACGCCTGCCTCTACTTCATCGCCCCCACGGGACACTCGCTCAAATCCCTCGACCTGGTCACCATGAAGAAGCTTGACAGCAAGGTGGGTGGGTTGGTGGGGGGGTGGGTTAGTGGGGGGGTTGGTGGGGGGGGTTTCAGGGTGTTAGTGGGGGGGTTCTGCCTCTACTTCATCGCCCCCCTCCACGGGACACTCGCTCAAATCCCTCGACCTGGTCACCATGAAGAAACTTGACAGCAAGGTGGGTGGGTTGGTGGGGGGGGTTGGTTAGTGGGGGGGTTGGTGGGGGGGTGGGTTAGTGGGGGGGTTCTGCCTCTACTTCATCGCCCCCTCCACGGGACACTCGCTCAAATCCCTCGACCTGGTCACCATGAAGAAACTTGACAGCAAGGTGGGTGGGTTGGTGGGGGGGTGGGTTAGTGGGGGGGGTTGGTGGGGGGGTTTCAGGGGGTTAGTGGGGGGGTTCTGCCTCTACTTCATCGCCCCCTCCACGGGACACTCGCTCAAATCCCTCGACCTGGTCACCATGAAGAAACTTGACAGCAAGGTGGGTGGGTTGGTGGGGGGGTGGGTTAGTGGGGGGTTGGTGGGGGGGGGGGGGCGGGGGGGTAGGTGGGTTGATGGGTGGGGCGGTGGGTGGGTGGGTGGGTTGGTGGGGGGGTTATTGGGGGGGGTCGGTTGATGATTGGGGGGGGTGGGTGGGTTGGTGGCGGTGTGGGTCGATTGGTAGGTTAGTGGGGGGGGTTAGTGGGGGGGGGGTGGGTGGGTTGGTGGGGGGGTTATTGGGGGGGGGGGGGTGGGTTGATGCTTGGGTGGGTCAGTGGGGGGGTTATTGGGGGGGTGGGTGGGTTAGTGGCGGTGTGGGTGATGGGTGGGTTAGTGGGGGGGGGGTTAGTGGGGGGGGTGGGTGGGTTGGTGGGGGTATGGGTTGATGGGTGGGTTAGTGGGGGGGTTGGTGGGGGTGTGGGTTGATGGGTGGGTGTGTTAATATCTTTCCCTCTCCCTCTCTCGCCTCGTGCAGGTGAACGTGATCCCCGTCATCGCCAAGGCTGATACGATCTCCAAGAGCGAGCTGCACAAGTTCAAGATCAAGATCATGAGCGAGCTCGTTAGCAACGGCGTGCAGATCTACCAGTTCCCCACGGACGACGAGACCGTCGCTGAGATCAACGCCACCATGAACGTGAGTTGCTGCCCGTGCACCTAGCCTGGCACCGCGGGGCGGCGGGGGGGGGCGGTGGCAGGGGGACGCGGAGGTAGGTGGTGGAGATGATGGTGGTGGTGGTGGTGATGGTGGTGGTGGAGGTGGTGATGGTGGTGGAGGTGGAGATGATGGT